CGGAGATGGTCTATGAAGACATCGGCAAGACGGTTTCTCACTACGGTGGTCTCCGAATCACAGCCAGTCAGGCCATCGAGTACGCGGCATGGGGAAAGGCCAAACAGTTGGCATGGGACAGAGGGTACGACTCCGAAGGCAAGACATGCTACATCTGCTACTACGATGCCGGGAACTGCGCTTATGCTGGTTTCATGAGGATGCTTTTGACTCCGGAAGAGCGCCAAGAATGCTACAGAGGGTCAGTCTTGCCCAAGGAAGAGCTCCTGGGTGACACAGTGGAGCTGGCGCTCGGGCTTCTTACAATTGCAATGAGACACCCAAGTCATTTTCCGAATTGGGGTGGCCTTGAGGGAGCAAATGCGTGCGCGAGGGGAATCGAAAGATCATTCTTCCGCTACGCGTCGGCCGAAGCTATCGAGCTGATCACGGTTGACTCCCCGCGCAAAAGGACACCGCCCAAGAAGAATGAAGCAGTCGCTGAGATCGTCAACAACATGTCCGCTGACCTCGTGATTGATTTCACAGTGATCGTCGATGGTGATATCTACCCTGTAGAGATTGCGAGAACCGACGAGACACAGGCCGCTGACAACGTCACGGACGATCCAGGGTTCTCAGTTGCTCCACCAATACCTGCACAGGATGTAGATGTGGATGCGCAACCCGAAGAAGAACAAGGTGCAGAAGGCCCTGATCCCAGGCATGCAATTCGTGAAGGATTTGTCGCGCAGCTTCAGGACTATGTGGGCGTACTCGCTCAGGGCGAAATGTCAGTCGGAAGCGACCGCATCACGTTCTGTGTCGCTTGTGGCAGTGATCTACACACTCTGTCCAATTGCACAGAAAATGCTGCAACCCGGGATCTGGTACTTCGAGGCGTCCAGATTATCAAGGAAAGCCTTCTTCGATATCCACGTCGAGTACCTCCACAAGAGGCTGAGCCAATGGACGTTGACACCACAGATCATGTGAGTGTTGCATCCTCGGACCGACGACCCAAGGCCAAAGCCCGACCGCGACGCGGAGGCGAAGCCGTACGGGGTGATGTGGTCTTGATCCGTTATGAGAACAAACACAATCTCTGCACGGATGTGGAGAACCGTCGGGGCCTACATGATGCTTGTGGCGTACCACTGCAGGAATCGGGACCAGAGAATAGCCAGCGAGTGGTGGACATCATTGAGCAGCTTTCGGACCATCGCGACCGACGCCTACCTCAACGAGGAGACCGTCCTAGCTTTGCTTACGATGACAACACTCATAGCTACACCAATGCAGGCTATGAATCCATCGGCGGCGGAAGGCCAATCCGGTGCGGGATTCTCGACCTGATCCCAACCAAGGGTGCAAGCTTCATCAACAATCGATGGGACCTCGTGAACGAAGTTGTCCTTCGCAACATCACCCGTCAGCGCAGACTGAACGCGGATTGGGCGCTATCATGCATCCAATCTGACTTGCGCCACAGAATCGCCAGGCGCCCAGGCTCGGAATGGCTTGACAACAGGTGCCAGGTGGCATTCAACAGTGTCATCAAATGTGATGAAGGAGGATGGGTGATGATCGAAGACTTGGTGAGGCATGAGCCACTATGGACCCATGAAAGCAGACGCATCACCGAAGCGGTCTCAAGGACCGATGAGCAACAGAAGAAGAGAGTGTACAATGAAAGACTTCAGCTATTGTTCCAAGGGAACATGATTGCAGCCACGAAACGCAACAAGGCCAAGATTCGGTTGCAGTTCCTGGGTGTGAGAGTGAAGGACCCCGGCACGGAAGTTCTTGGATCAGCAGGTTCGAACAGGTTGGTATCGGTTCAGGACCAGATCACGGAGATCCAGAACAACGATCATTGCCGGCATGGCCAGAGGTACCTGAACATGTGCAACGGCTGGGTGAAGCCATGGGCAGTTCGGGCTACGAGTGGTCACTCTGCGCACTCAGATCCCCAGAACAACTTGCTTCAGTTGGACAAGAACAGGTTCGCAATATCTCCATCTATGACCCTCTTGCAACGTCTTGGAGGTGCGTTCCACGCTACGGCATGCCGCAACTTGGATTCCATTGTCACGCAAGGCATCATGCCTGGTTCGGAGGACCCCGACGGGGACTTCGACCATAGGCGCCAATTCCGAGGCAACCAAGGTGGCAGACTCCACAGCTATTGGGGGGTGTTTGCGCCGTTCGATCACCGGAACGCAACGACCAAGATGCGAGTACATGGACGAGACGCCAAGCACATGCCATTGGCGGTCCTTCATGTCCCATCGCAGGACCTTGCACGAGAAGATGGACGTATCACAGACAGCGGCATCGTGATCGTTGGCCGAACGATACCTTTCCATTTCGTCAAGGAGGTATGGTTTTGCGTCCCGGATCCTCGAGATACACACTCTTTCGCTCTGGTGGAAAAGATCTACGATGAACGGTTGGAGAAAGAGCTGGTGTTGGACTACAATGCATCACCGTTGCTTCCTGAGTTCGAGAGATACCGAACGCCAAGCAAGATCATGGAATTGCTTTGCGAGATGCCTCCTGGACCCCACGACACAAGCAAGGAGCAGATCATTCGAGACCTCACGACTGTCCTGGAGTCCCACAGGGAGAACACGGTTCGGCATCACTACATGGACAAAGGAATCAAGTTTGTCATCAAGAATTGGCGACCCGAAGACCTACGCAGAGACGAGGATGGACGGAGAATGAGGGTATGCCCGGCATGCTACAACATCGTTCCAGCATGTTTCTCCCGATGCACGTCTTGCTGGTCACAGTTCGTTTCGAGCGGATATTACCAAGGTTCTCCACAACGGGAGACTCCTACGGAGATCCCCAGTGACTTCATTGCTCAGACAATGGAAGCCGCAGCAGCCGCAGTGCCTGAGGCGCCCGAAGAGGAGCAGGAAGCCATGGAGGTAGAGACCGTTGCGGAACCTGAAGAAATCCCAGAACCATCTGTCATCGCGGAGGACGATCCAGAACAGGAACCTGATGAAGAAATGGACATAGAGCCAGGAGAGGACTTTGATGACGCAGTACCAGAAGCAATTGCACAGGAACGTCGTCCCGTCTTCGTTACCGGCCAGTCTTTGAACATCGATCCTGAGCTACAACTTGCACGTACCGCCATGCAGCCATCCTACTATTCTGGAAAGCGAAATGCCCATTGCATTGACGCGAACATGACCGCTCTTTCGTACATGGCATACGTGGTATGCAGATCCATCTACAAGGCTTGGTCAGGATTCGCAAAGTGGGCGACTATGCCGTTGTTTCAGATGAGGGAAAGTTTCGCACTTGGCCAACGCTACGATGTGCTTGGAAAGTGGGGATCTTTGGCGGCAGTGGATAGGGAAACGGGTGTGAGCAAGGATGTGACTGATGAGGACATCATTCGCTTTGCCAAGGAGCCTGAGAACCTCAAGCAGTATGATCCCAACGGGACTTACACCTTGAAGCGCTTCCGGACGAACCAGATGCTTTCATTGCTTACACGGGGAGCCAACATGATGGGAATTGGCAGGGACAATTTCAACCCTACTACTTACTTGAAGAGCGAAAGGGATGAAGATGTGAAGGCTATGCACTTTTGTTGCCTGAACGTCCTGTGCGAGGTGATTCCAATGGTGACGGGACACCAACAATTCTCAGTGCTACGACCAACGCCAACTGGACCGGTGGACTTCTTGTACATCGACCCCGTCGGTATCCTGCTGACTCATTCTGATCAGTCAGTCCAGACCATCGGCTTGCTGGTGGACCACAGTGTGCAAATGCCTGCGCATTTCATGGACAGATTGAACAGATCCAAGGCTGAGAGACAGCAAAACCCGACGACCAAGCGTACTGAAGCCCTACACCACATTTCGGCTGCTGACTATCTCCCTCCAGGTGGTACATCCATCCTGGACACGCCTGTCACTACGGAGGAACGTGAAAGCGCTTCTTCGTCCAAGGGACCTTCAAAAGGGCGTGGGAGAACCGGAGGTGAGCAACATGGAGGCTGGAACTCCAACTCCTACTACGACTACACCGCCGGCAAAGGCCGAAACAAAGGCAAGGACAAGGGAAAGCATCGGGAACAGTATCCAGAGGAAAACCTCCGGCCCTGGGACCGCGATCCTGCGACCACGCGAAGATGGAGATGAATCAACGCTTGGTCTTCCTCGCCTATCAGTTCGTGACCTCTGAGCTTCGCCCATGGAATGCCATCGCGAATGCTTCTTTCTTCGGTGACGCCTGATTCGTTTGCCATTTCAGGGGATCGTTACTGACGTAGATGAGTGTCACAACGTTTCTAATTGGGATGCAAAGCTCTGATTTTCAATGTCAACGTTGCGGCGGAACATTTTCTGTTGTCCTATCGTGCCATCTTCCGGGTGAGCAGCGTCGGAGACGCAACTCATGGGGGGTGCGAACGGACTGCGATGCCTTGTCAAGTTCTAAGGTGTCACTATAAGAGCTGTGAGCAAGACCGTGTAAAGTGCAAGAGAAGGGGGCACGCTACGCGTCCCTCGACTCTAGGGGGCATGCTACGCATCCCTCATCTTTACCTTTCTATGTGACCGCCAACGCAACGTTTGGCTCAAGTCAATGCCCATAGCTAAGTGCTATATGTGTCTTCTATCCTGAGCAATCAGAGCTATCCCGTTGCACAGACGAACCGCCGCCGGCAGTGAGTGCAAAAGGAACGGCCGCCGGTTCTGCCTGCATAGGATTGCACGTGTGGGAGTAAGAGGGAGAGACAGGGTCCAGTCTGTGGAGAGTGCTAGCCAGCCACACCTACATTCATTACAGCTCTGGTGGGGAGAGCAGCAACCAAGTCGAGATCAATCCCCCACGCAAGTATAGTTACCCTGATTATAGCCCTAGTTACTAAGTCCCATGACCCCTTCAAATCCACCAAAAAAGGCCGGGAGTCCCGCTCCGAGCAGGCTTCGCAGTGGTGCCAGAAGGATGAGAACGGGGTCTACTGTCAGCAGCATCACGCCGAGCTGATGATTCAGAGCCCGCTGCAGCCCGACGGAATATCGGGGCGTGGGATCTTCAACCTTCAGGGTACAGTCACAGCCGGCCAGTGCAAGGCAAGACTCTACTACTTTTTGCACCCCCGGCCCCGGGGTACGCTCGTGCGTGAACGGCAGAGGTGCTACAGCCACTATACCACGCCTGTGATGGACATCCCCGAGATGGTCCGCGACCGTTGCTCCCACACGGAGTGTGTCCGAGGCGGGAATCGAGCCTTGTCCAAAGAGGTTTGAGATGCTGTGCCACCTTGAGGTTGGAAGCAAGCGGAGGAGCATCCGATTTGCAGCTCCCAAATGACCGAAATCGGCCGATCCCGCGGCGAGGGCATGATGCACATGTTACATCAGATTTGGGGGGCGAGAATCGGCACTCCATCGGGTGCGCTGTCATACTATGATTCCTGCATCCACCCGACTTCGCAGCACAAGCCCAACTTTATCGTTTGAGCCTGAGAAAGACCCCGAATGGGTTGTCACTCTCAGGAGAAAACCTACAGTTACCTTAGTTTAGACATCTCGACAACGGCAGCTTCAGACGCTCGTCGAATGAGAAACTCGAGTGCGGCACAAGATTGATGACGACTGGAGCTGCAGGGCCAGATTGCACCCGCAGCACGTGAGTTTTGGGCTGCTGTTGAGCAGCAGTGCCCTTGAAGCTGAGCAGCCTTGTGGCCTCGAAGTGTTACCAGTGTGATAGTCATCCAGAAAACATTCCGCATGGTCTCTGCGCGATGAAGCACATGAGCCGGTAAGCGAAGTTAAACGATGTCAATGAACAAGGGCAGCCAAGGACCTGTGATGCAGCAAGGCGGAAACCCTTACAATTCCACCCGTTTTGGGACAAGTCCGGAGCACCGTCCGATGTCGTCCTCGTCAGAAAAGAGGACATCGGAGTTGGGCTTGACAGGCAGACGGTCACACGCGCTTGCGGGCCTTTTCCATGTGGACCGGTATGCCGCCGTACGCATATCCCGTCGCTAATGTGTTGGAGCGAGCCAGATCAGCCAGAGCTTCGGCAGACATGGCACATCGGAGCAAACGACGATCGAACGCGACTTGCCCCAACTCGCTTTGCTGTCATCAACCTGCAGCATGAGCCTGCAGCAGTTTGTTACTGCGGAGGAGAAAGTCAGTGTGGCATGGAACCGCTGATTCATTCGGGAGAGAGAGAGAGAGAGAGAGAGGGAGTGTGTTGCAGAGAGAAGAAGCCTGTAAACTTCCTTCGAGTTTGTGCAGACTTAGTAGGGTTTTGGGGCGAGAGACAGGAGATTTCGTGGGTATAGTGGCTCTCGTTCGACTGTTGTCTCGGAGTTCTTCGCATACTGCGACTCCGGACTTGTGCCCGAAATTTGGTGAAGAAGAAATAGATGTACAGCTGAGCAGAAAACAATTTTCCGTCACGTGACAAGTGCAAGACCAGGAAAAGCTTAATCCCCACACACAGAGCCCAGCAAATTCCGAAGCCACGGCACCCACCTGCTATTACATGTTCGGTGCTCGGTCTAATTGCATCGTCGCCTTCGCAGCAATGACTTGCATTCGAAAGGTGGTGTGCTGCTCGTCGCGTCGGTTTTGTTCGTCTGTGCCCTTGCAATGACCTACGAGACGTAGCCCCAAGTTGTCAGCCCTAAAGCTTCAACCCTAAGCCACTGTGAAGATCACGAAAGTGGAGTTCGACGGCGTTTTGAACGATCCACACCAAGCTTGCAGCTGTTGCAAAACGAAGGTGAGACACTCTGGTAATTTGTAGCTTATGTATATACGTATAATTCACATGTATGTATGTGTGTATGTATGTCTGAATGTAGAGCGTAAAATTTATTGTCCACTAAGAGAAACGACGATGGCGAGCACATCTCGCAGGCTGCAGCTCCTCATCACCCCAACGCCTAAGCACACGAGAGGAAGCGGCTCGTAATCCCCGGATGCCCTCAAAGCTGCTTCCCAGGCCAGCCTCTGCGGCTTTAACAGCGTGTGGCTAGCGAAATGCCGGTCAGCTTTGGCTTAAGCGAAGAAGGGTAGTTATAAGGAGACAGCCAGACATGGCGCTCCTCGGTCGGCTTGAAGCTTTGGGTCTTGTGTTTACGTTCTCATATGGTGGTATGGCTTCGGGTCTTTCTGCGGCTGAGACTTGATTGTAGGAGACACAGTGATTTTTTGTTTGGTGGGTGTTCGTTGTGAAATTCGTATAATTAATCCGAGGTCGTCCTCCGTGCCACCTCAAGTCGCGACACCTGGTGGATATTTCATCCAGAACCAGGATGGCACCACTTCAGGCACTCCGTCCCAAATGAACTCAGACCGAACACTGTGCTTGTTTGAGTCACTGCATGAGGCGACCTCAGAGCGAATCTGCGAGCGTTGAACGTCGTGCAATTGTTTTGTTTGTTTGTGCTAGTGGTTTGCCATTGCCATCGTTACGCGTTATTGTGGCTGTCGTTGTTGGTGCTGGTGCTGGTGCTGGTGCTGGTGCTGCTGCTGCTGCTGCTGCTGCTGCTGCTGCTGCTGCTGGTGCACTGCTGACCCGGTAGCGGTGGCGGTGCCGGCAGTGTGGTGGTGGTCGTTGTGCCACAGCGCAATAAAGGGAGATCGATGTCGGTCGTGGGCTTCGTGCTGTAGCGTAGCTGATGATGTGCAGAGCATCTCATTGTTTAGGTCTTCGCATGCCTGGGCGCCAAGCGGATGTGCCACACCATGCGTGAGGGCTATGATTTGGAAAGCTTGCAAGCACGGCTCGCCAGCGTTCTTTGAGAACATCTCAGCTTCAAAATTGCTAAATCCTGAGAAAGACTTCGCACCTGTACCAAGCAGCCAAGCCTCAAAGGCGTTATTGTTGTCAACCGTGCTGTTGCGAGAGCCGTGCGTAATTTTTTTAGGAACCAGAACCATTCTCTCGCGACGCCAGTGCCTGGAACCTGCAAGCTGCAAACATTTGGCTTGCAGGCCCATTTTATGGGACTCCACCAGCGGGCATGCTGCCGACGGGTCAGATGCTGCTGGGCAAGACAGCAGAACTGTGGAGCTTTCGGTGCTTGGGGGCATTGAACATGCTAAGACTAAGACCTTGGCAAGCACATTGAGGTTGCTGGTGTTCTAGTTGATGTCATATAGCTATTTTCCTTATCAGACAGTTTGTTGCACCGTCCTTACATGAACTACTGAATGGCTTTTTGTCACTGCGCCATTGGTCTCAAGATCCTACAGTATTTATTCGTGCGCGGTCGTACTTCCTGCCATCCGAGGTCATGTGCCTATGTGACTACATGCGTCATACGATGTTCTGCCCATGTCTACTGCTTGATAACAGTATAGCAAACATGCAGCAACAAGTTCATGTACTATCATGTAGGTGCGTCTGCGAACCCGCATGCATGCATGCATGTGTGTGTATGTAGGTGTGTAGGATTATGTAGGTATGTATGTGTGTATGTATGGATGTATGTACTTACGAAGGTAGGTAGCCATGCGGGTAGTTAGGTAGGGATGTTGGTATGTTTGACATTTGTTTTTGTTCCCGTGTGTACATATGTATGCATGTATGCATGCATTCATGCAGGTATGTATCTGCATGTGTGTGTATGTTTGTATGTATGTATGCATGTGCGAATGTTTTTATGTATTTATGTGTGTCTGTACGTATGTATGCAATGTACGTATGTAGTTATGCATGCTGTGTGCATGTACCTACGAAGGTAGCAGGTAGGTAGGTCGGTCGGTAGGTTAGGGATGTTTGTATACCTGTATGTGCATGTGTGTGGCTGTATGTATGCCTGCATGTATGTATGCATGCACACGCACATATCCAAAGAAGACGCGCCACCCCGAAGCAACCGAAGCTAAAAGCCATGGTATTGATATTTCGGTCGTGCGCCATCGGCATATATGGTTGCGCCCCGGCGGGCCCCCTCTCCCTCCCCCCCCTCCCGCCCTCCTCCCCTTTTGTCTAAGTGTTTGAAACATTTTCATGATTAAATCGACGTGTATTCTTCCCTCCCCCCCCCCCGGCCTTTTGCCCTACGTCCCCCCCCCCCTGTGGAACAGGATGGTTTTCTCTTTTGCTCTGAGACACATACACACACACACACCCACACACACACACACCGCCTACATTAGAACCTTGCTTGAAGCCCTTCGGTACGTGAATAATGTTACAAAGTATTGCCCGGAACCCTTTTCTTATAAGGAATTTACATAGCCTTGCTTTGACAATTTTGGGACACGAGTAACCTTGCTGAGTGTTGCCTAGAACATTTTGCTTACTGCTCACAGGAAGCGCCTTCGGAGTAGGAATAATTTTACTCAGTTTTGCCTCGAAACCCTATCCTTACTGTGGAAATTATGCGGGTGCGTCGCGGGCGGGTCAAGCGGGGTGCAATATGCGGTGCGGCGCGCCTGTAGCGGGAGTCCTCTAGGCCTCCAGGCTTCAGGCCCTTGTAGTTGGGGGGGATACCATTGGGGGGAGGGGGGGGCGAGAACGCACAGCGCACAACCATATATGGGTGAGCGGCGAGCGGTAAAGAGAAGCATTAAGGCACCAAGCCCTTGCATTCTGATTACATGAGAGCAGCAGCACTCCATAAATGTGCCAACCTTGATACACTGCAATCATCGTGCACATGTGCGGCATTTTCGACATGAGCATCAGATAAAACAAATCAGCGCAGTGTATCCGAGTACCTTAGTCCCTTGGTACCCTGAACCCCATCTGGATTTTCCGAAGTACTCTAAGCCCTATAGTTGGCTAAACCTCCGAAACCCTAAACCCTATAATGCCCTACAACCCTATAGCCCTAAGCCTGTATACACCCTAAAGCCATCCCAGGCAGAGCCTGGGAGCTCCAGTAGCCAAGGCTGGCTCGGTCGCTGCGGCCGCACCCGGGGCGTCGGTAGCAGGAGCCGGGGCTTTCGGTGGGGGCTTGCTAATAGGGTTATAGGGCTGAGGGTTTAGGGTTAGGGTTTAGTTTAGGGTTTAGTTCTGCTCTTCGGCTTCGTAGAGGGTCGAGGCTGTTCTACAAAACAGTGCCGACGGTGATTTTTCGAGCAGGCTCGGAATTTGTACAGAAGCGCCCCAGGGCTTGTGGGAGGTGTTCAAGGGCTGCCATTAAGCTGCTGTTTAGGCTTGGTATATATATATATGTATATATAGTTAGATAGGCATACATTACATTCACGTACAAACACAAACATACATGCATACGTACGGACATGCATACATACATGCAGACATACGTGCGCACACCATATATAATATACGTATATATGTATCTGTATATCTATGTGATTACATATATATGTATATATTTATGTATATATACATATATATATATATATATGTATCTACATCTATATTACCTATATATACATATCGAAGGTTCTGGGTATTTTGAAAATTTGAATATGGGGTTGGGATCTGGGGTTCTATGATTCTTGAGTTTCCCAGGCATGTG